TGAAGAGCAAGTGAGAGTGAAATGCTTCCATGTTCCTGTGATTGAAGAGTAAGTCTCAATGGAGACAGTTTTAGATTCCCGTCTGCAGTTACATTTTGCCCGAATAACCTTGTAGTGGACTGCGTCATTAAAACAGTCCTCTTCGACAGTGAGGAATGCCATGCACAAACTTTGATAGAACTGCTGAGGTTGAGGAAGTTTGCATAGCTGTTTGCTGACTGGGTTCCACACGGTATATGTCATTGGATGGCGGCCAAAAAGAAGAAGGCCATTGGAAGTGCCAAGGAAGTAACCAAGCTGTTTGGGTGCAGAAACCATTAGATTATCACCTTCCTCACAGGCTGACAAAAAATGAATTGCGGGCTCTGTTAAGGGCCGCCGCATGCCATATTTAGATATTCCGAGGTAAAGATGGTTGCACACAAAGAATCCCAAAAGATGATAATTTACTTTCCATCGAGCATGGTAATCACATCGAAAAGAAGGGCTACATATCACACGAAGCCACCTCTTCGATACAAGTATTAAACTGAAAACAGATTTTTCTGGCAGACGGAGTAGGATCTCATGTAGGATGTCATCATCACAGGTGAATACTTCATGAGCATCATTTGCAGACCTCTTTTGACCCGTCATAATATCCTCTGGACACATAAAAACGTGCTGAGAGAATGCTCCGCTGTATCAGTGCAGTTCTAAAAATCTGTAGCCAAACAATAACTAAAGCACCTCCATTGACATAAAAGGATACAAATCTAAAAGTCACCGGCTGTCCATATTTAGAAACACTTAAAAGCTCATGTCAAACAAATACTGATAAACTAACGGAAATTAGAACGCATTTTACAAGGAGAACCAAGTAATGATACCCTAGCAATGACATACATTAATTTGATCGATATTCACAATCTTTTACCAGAACCCCGAAAGCAGCATATTATTCAAACACGTTTCAAATTCATATTTTCACCTAAATACTATAATTCTAAGTTTTCCCACACTGTGTAAGCAAAATATGCAATCTAAAAGCAAACTACGAAATCCCAAGAGAATATCTGCTACAAAATGTTTCACATTGCCTATTCGGGAAATAAATCGGGCTTAGGGGAAAAGAACAAGCTTGAACACATATGAGCCCCGCAACCATATATCCGAATTGCGAAAGGGTAGTACTATGCATACTTCCATTTTTACCTCCCACACACCCCTTGTTAATTGTTGTTCTTTAATCTTCTCCGATTCATTCGATCCAACGGCTTAAAATTAAAGGACGTGTGAAAAGTAAAAATAAGTGCGTGGATAGCACCGCCCTTGCGAAAATTGCAACAAATCCAAGTTCTAGACTTTTAAGTAGTTTCTAACAATTGAAACCTAGTTATCACCGAAACATCGGAATCGTCCATAATCTGGTTACCCATTTGCATGAGGAAAAAGACCTAAACTTTCACGAGAAAAACCCAACAGAAACACTTCCGACAACCTTAAGGATTTCATCTTGCATGGTCTGATAAGAGGACAACATAAAACACCCTAAACCAATCGAATCGAAACGAAAGAGGGTAACTGCGTTTTCCAAGCTGCCATTTTTGCCCCATTTCATCAAATTACAACCAAAGGAAAAGAGAGAGAGAGCTTACCTGAGAGCTTGAGCGTCTTGATGAATTCCGGCGGAGGAGCTCCGGCGAGTGAGGCTTGGACTCTCACAGTTGCATAAGAGAATCTGTCGCCTTCTGATTTCACTGGTTGGAGGTTTTGGGCCACCTATTTACAGTAAGGGGTCCGGTTCAAGGATGGTTCGGTAGGAATGTGACGTCACTAGACTTTACTCGGGTTATTTACACCTTTTAACAAAGGTTTGCAATTGTCACAAAATACTACGATTTAACAGTATTCAATTCATTTTTAGATTTGCTTCTCGTTAAATGTAAATTTGAACTGTATTAATACTAGTTCATTATGAGGCTTACCCATTCTTTCACAAACTACTAGTATAGATAATATTGTTTGTTAAAAAAAAAAAAAAACTAAAGTTTGAAACTTTGTAGTGTTGTTGACCAAAAAAAGAAAAAAAAAAAAATCTTTCTAAGTGTTTTCAATTTTCATAGTGGAAAATGAGATTTCAAAATTTTCATATTGTATTCTGATTTTTTATTTGTATAAGCGATCTCGTGAAAAATGACATTTTATAATTCATATAACATATCCTACTTAGTAAAAAAATAAATTTGTTATTGTTGTTGTATTCTGATTTTCGAGCTTGGGTGATTTTTTTGCTCTTAGTGTTTTTTTGTTAAATTGTTGACGCGGTAGCCGTGAGATCCGTTTTGAGATGATGTAAAACTCACACTTACATTATTCGGGGTCAAATTGTAAGACAGGCTGTGATCGATTAAGGATAAGCTGAAGGTCCTATGTGGTGCAATTGATGCTTTGTATTTGGAAATAATGAAGGCCCATACGTTCAAGAGGCGACGAAAGCAATGGTTGGACCCACTGAACTCTTTGGACCGTTGGCTGCACCAACAAGGTAAGCCCACGTCCATGCCATAAAAGCTTCCCACTTACGGCTATGGAGAAACAACCCAAGAAATCCCCCACCCCACCCACCCAGCCTCAGCAGATCAAAGAAAATACAAGAAGAAGAAGAAGAAGAAGAAGAAGAAGAACATCATGTTTCACTACAAAGAGGTAAAAGATTCAATTTTTTTTTCATTTTTTTTTTGGTATTTTTCCATGAAAAAGTTTCAATCTTTACCCATTTCCTGGTGGATGAATGCATTTTGTCAGGAAAAAGAAGCAAAGAAGGAAGCATTCAGGAAGTACTTAGAATCAAGTGGAGTTCTTGATGCCCTCACCAAAGGTTTGTTAAAGTTTCGGACTTTTCCTCACTTATTTTTGTGGGTTGGGTTTTTATTTTATTGATTAATTTCATGTTTTCTGTAATTTTTTTTTCGTATAATTCTGTGATGCAAGACTTGGCGCAAAACCGAGACATTGTATGATTCATACAGCCGACCTCGCTTGGTGGGAAAAAGGCATTATTGTTGATGATGTTTTATATAATTTTGTGAATTTTTTCTGGGACAGTTCTGGTTGCATTGTATGAGCAGAATGAGAAGCCTTCCTCTGCACTTGAGTGAGTTCATTTCTTTGACTCTGTGATCTAAAGTTTCTGTGAGCTTAGATTCAAGTTTTGGATTTTTTGCTAGCTCAACTCAATTAGGTTAATTTCATGTGGATTTGTTGAATATTTGCTCAAGAATTCAGATGTTATTATTAGCTACATATTCTTCCACGGCAAAAGTTAGATGTTAGCTTTTACATCTCGTTGTCATTGCACATTTTTGCTTAGATCGTCAACCCCTTCGGATCAGTTTATAATACACCTTGAGTATGTGTGAACCGTGTTGAGAATTGCGAGAGCTTTGAACATATGATGGTTGCTATGCAATTACGTGATCCTTGTTCGCGAGGTTTAGTCTGAATGCTATTTCAGTTGTGTATCAATTCTTCGTGAGAAATGGTACTTTACATTGTCAATGTGCTCTTTTTGCTTGATTGGTGGTAATTTTTCACATTATTGAGGACCTTGAGGATGCGTAATCAATCAGTAATCATCATATAAACTGAACCATGATGCTCATAGTACTTCTTTAAGCGTTTTCCTTGGAACCGAATGATGTGAATCATCCATGAACAGAGAGATTTGTTGTAACTGGAGTTCCGCTTCCATCTACTACTGTTGCTGTCTTGCAGATGTTGGGTAGTTGTGCTTAATTGTGTTTTGCTGCTTGGTCTAGTTTGAACTAACAAATGTATGCTGGTGTGCATCGACAAATGTTAAGGCGTATTTTGATTTTGATATTCAATTTTTTGACAGGTTTGTTCAACAAAAGTTAGGGGGTCCATCTGTGTCTGATTACGAAAAGCTACAGGCTGAATTGTCCGAGTTGCAGAAAAAGTATAGCACACTTTCAGCAGCATACCAAGAAACATGCACTGAGGTAATTTCTGGAGTTTGTAATCCTCCTGTACTTTGAGATTAATATGAGCATTTGGTAAGAGGCATCGTTAAGTTTTGAACACCATATCGCCTATAGGGCGATAAGTTATGTTAAATAAAGTTGTGAAACCAAGTGTTAAATTGCAAAGGCAAGATATAGATATAGTTCAAGAACTCCGTAGATCTTACGATTATGTGATAATTGGGGGAAGATAGGCGCCAACTCATTGGATGACCAGTAAGATGCAGGTTTTGCTCAATAACTTTGATAACTAAAACGTTCCTTGTGGTGGCATGTTTGAGATATGTATGATACTGATTGAATTGGCTTTTGATCTTCGTTTTAACTATAACAACCTCCTGTTTCGTTATATAACTCACCAAATTATGCACCGTATTGCAGCTAGAGGGACTTAAGAGCTCACAATTACTTAACGTGGCCTCACTTTCTATCAAAGACAAAGAGACCGCAGGCGAGGAGGCCCTAAAGGAGAAAATCTAGAAGTGCGGTAGATGATTGTGTAAATTGCTAAGCTACGCAAAACCTTCTCGTGTGAATATATCGAACATGTGACAGGAGTCATGGTTCCTGGCTGTAGTATCTACAATACACGCCAGAACTTCGTACTCTGTGTGTATGTGCTCGCGTTAACTTGTGTTTGTGTTATCTCTTTAATCATTGTATGTGCTTGGTGTGAGTTCTGTTTAACTGATTCCCATGAGATTATCTTCTAATTTTAATGTCATTTGATATTCTTCTTTAAATTCGGGAATCGGGATGTCGTGCAAGAAATAGCGATCCTTGTTTCTTGCTCTATTCTGCAATGGTTATGCAGCATAAATCTTGAGACGTAATGAAAACTCAAACGACACAAACTTGAGATCTACTTTTGAAGACAGTCACTAAATTGTTACAACAATTCCGTTACAAATTATAAGATTTGCCAACAATTTGTGGCAGAAATTCTCTCCTCTTGAAGGGACATAACACCAGCTGCTACTGCAAGCAGAAAACAACGAGCAGAGCAACCGCGACGATGACCGAGCAAATTAAAGCCTGCACCAGTGCAAGTTTTCAGCACAAGAGGAAACAAAATGCCAACACCAAACATCAGAAGACAAAAAAATGGTAGGAAAAAATCTGCATAATTTCTTACTGCAATGGCAGATGCTGCAAGGCCAGGTCGTTCCCTGGGGTCTTTAAGGTGGTTCCCAAAGTAAAGGACTGTAGCATAATACCATAGTGGTGGAAAGGCAAATCCCAAGAGAAACCTGTCACGAGCATCGATCCTTAAATCTTTAGTTCTGTCTACAGGACAAACAGGTACTCAACAGGAACATATGTATAGCATGTCTAACGCTACTTCTAAGAGTCTTACTAAACCGTTTGATTGATTTAGTACACCATCTTATGAGTCGCTTAAGTATTCATAATAATCCGTGTTTGTACCCTAGAAAAACCGCCAAAAAAAAAAAAGAAAAAATCTCTAGCATCCCTCAATTCAAATGAAAAGTGAGCATCTTAATACTAACACATATTCATCCATCATTCTCACTCTGTGCTTGTAAATACATGTTTATGCTCTACAAAACGTGCAAAACATCAATCACTATCGTCCCTTAAAGGAAAGGAAAAAGTAGGAATCTTGAATTAGAAACTCACGAGGACCATCCAATGCCACAACCGAGGCATGAAAGTGGCTTATCATACATCCCATCAAGCAAATCTAATTCTCCTCCATCAACTTCAAGTTGCACCATTTCTTTACTTCCATGATCTCCACCTGTACCAGCACATTATGCCGTGAATATCTACGTTGCTCCAGAGTATTCTATACTCCGTAATTTTTATCCCTAGAGCGATAATCTCCGACCCTTGCAAAGTAGGGAACTTTGTTGGCTTTGGGTCGCTCTTATAGCGAAAATTCCCTAAGTATTTACTACAGCGCCAACAAGGGGAAGAGAGAAAAATGACAGTACTGACCGTATTGCTGCTTCAACGATGTGATCCCAATGTTGTTCTTCATGCTTGCTCCTTCTACCAAATTTGTGCTGCTCTCATGCATGATCAAATCGCTGTGGTTAGACACAGAAGTCTCGAAATTTATCGACGTTTCGGAGAAGATCCATGCTGTTATGTGCGGTTTTATGTTGACAAAATGCTGGAGAGAAAACCAGAAAACGAAAAGGTCTGGAAAGGAGGGAGAAAGAGGAACAAAAGGATTCACTTTTTTGGTTTCTTCTTGTTTTGAATAAAACGGTTTCCCTCTTTTTAACCGAAACAACTGCCACTTCGCTTTTGGATTTTATTGAACAAAGCATGTCACTTCATCATTTACTAGTCTCTTTCCGCACGCGTAATTTTCTCTTTTTTATGTTATTTTTTACTTATAATTTTATTTATTTTACTTTGTTTTAAATATTTTTTATATTTTTATTTTGAATGGTTTTATTGTGTTGGTTTGTTTTTTTGTTTAAATTAAATTGTTTTATCTAAAAATCCTAATTAGGAAACGACACTTTTAAAATTACGAATGAATTACCTTTTTGTCTTCCGGTTATATATATATAGATATTCAAAAGTCTAAAATATACATTTTTTGTTCATCGTGATCCATGTTATCAAATTTAGTGTTAAAACAAAAAAATTCGTCCGTCAAGCACATAATTTTATTAAGGCCGATTGATCTAACTCACATATGCTAAGAGCAATTATAATTGAACTATTTTGACAAAAAAAAAAATTATAATTGAACCATCATTATTCGACAAAAATAGCATTCATATCATTGTTCTTGTGGTGTACAAACCAAAAAATAAAATAAAAAAGTTGATATTCAAATTGCAAATATCTCAACAAACACTGATAATTAGTTATATCAACTTCTGAGCATATAGCCCCACTAACAGGTAGGTATCTTTTGGAGAAGCAACTTAAGGTTGGTGGGGACTGGTGAGGTGCCAAATTAACTGAAACCGTCCCACCAAAACATTAATTGGGCTATGGCTTTCTTTTTCAATTTACTATTTATTTTTTCAACGTGGGTTCGTGTAGAATATTATTTGTAATAAAAAAAAATGTATAATAAAAGTAATTTTTGTAAAGGCTTCTTTGGAGTCGATCTAACATCAGGTTGACTTATATGTCGAGCACGTCAACGACTCACAGAGGGTCACACTTGTAACGAATAAACAAGAGTTAAAACTCGACAAAGGGCTCAATATTTATAAAATATGAATTTTTTATGTAAGTTACACTAGTTGGAAAGATAGTAAACTTATGTTCTTATACTCGATTTTGCATTGTTTTCTCGTTCAATTTTTTTTATACAACTAATTTACTATAAAATTAATAGAAACTTGAATTAAGTCGCACAATAAGATTGACATAATGTGGTATTGAACCGACCGAAACCTAAAACTTTTTAGTTACAGATCAAGAATAACATTGGTTTGTAGTTTAGAATAAAAGTTTATTTTTTTGTTGAAAAAAAAAATGTAATTTATGAACTTGTTGACTGGAGTCTAAATGTCAAATCAAACCTAAAACCCAATCCGACGGCCAAAATCACACCACACAATTAAAAGCGCAAACCAAGAAAACCAACCAAAAATAAAATAAAACGAAGAAAAATAAAATAATTATTTTGTTTATTCGACAGACTCTCTCTCTCTCTCTCTATCTCTCTCTCTAAAACTCCAAATGGAACCGAACGAAAACCAACTGAGCTCCTACTTCCAACACCCCACCACCACGACGGCCCCCGCCCCCGCCGCCCCTTCCACAGCCGCAACCACTCCCTCTCCGACCAATGGTCTCTTGGCCAACACCCACTCAACTTATGGCTCCCACATGGTGTACTCTCACTCGGTGCCCTCCTCGGCGGTGACCTCGCCACTTGAGCCCGCGAAAAGGAAGCGGGGGCGGCCCAGAAAGTACGGCACGCCGGAGCAGGCTCTGGCGGCCAAGAAGGCAGCGACGTCGTCGTCTCACTCCTCGTCCTCCAAGGAGAAGAAGGACCAACACGGCGCCGTCTCCCCTTCGTTTTCTGGGTCGACCAAAAAATCTCAGCAGTTTTCTCTCGGTGGGTCGCAAATAAATACCCTTTTAGAATTTTTTTTGCAATTTGGTAGTGAAATTCTTCATTTTTTTGCTAATTTCTTCAATTTCGATTTGGGTTTTAAGTTTTTGGTAGCATTGATGTGGAAAGATTGAAACTTGATGGTTCTGGGTGAGTGTTCTGGAAATACCCTATTTGTGTTTCGTTGTGAAATTTCGTATTCTCGGCGGGTTGTTGCGAATTGCTTCGATTTTATTTGGGTTTTTATTTTTTTAATTTGCCTTGTTTCGCAGTGGCTGCCCTGTTTTCTGCGTTTTTATTTGTTAATAGTTTATTGTGAATACGTTGCAATTTTAGAGGTTTTGTTCCAATGCTTAAATTTATAAGTGTTTTCGGTTGCATTGTTTGGTGTCCTCACACCCAAAGTAGTAACCTTTTGGTAGTGTTCAGTTTAATTATTGTCAAATGGTGGGCATAATTGGCTGTCAATTTTGAAATTGGAGTAGAATAACTTCCCCATCTGTTTGAATGATAAGCTTTTGGGGAAGTAAAAAGAGAAGATAAGGCAATTTGGTAACTTTTATTTACATGAACCAAAATCTTCCGAGATCACACTTTTTGGAGTGGAAACTTTGGTTGCCTTGATGGTAAGATATTGATAAGAAGCTCTTATGTTTTTGCTTTTGAAGGATAGTTACCTAGTGTTTAGTTTCGGTAATACCAAGTATAGTTTTTTAAGTGATGTCAATACTGTAGTCCAAAGAGGCTTGTTTTGTGATATAAATAATAATAATTTAAAACACTCATGTGGTACTCTTAATTGGTTGATGCAGGCAATGCAGGGCAAGGTTTTACACCACATGTTTTAACTGTTGCTGCTGGGGAGGTATGAATGTCCTAATGAATTCTCAAAGAAGGAATACCGTGACAGTTTAATTCAATGTTTTTCCCTTTCAATCAAGTGTGTGTGTGTTTTTTTTTATTTTTTTATATAAATTGCAGATTCTGGAATATAGCTCTTTCTTATTTGATTGCATGTTTTTTATTTTCACATTGTTTTAATGTGTAACATGCGGATATGGGATATAGAATATTTCCATGAATTTGTTTGTGGGTTTTGTGAACAACCTTGCAGAAGTGGTTTCCTTTTTCCTTCGGGGCAGTTACTGTTGTATTTTTACTACGTCAATAGTTTCCTGAACTTACCTTGTTTATCTTGCCTAAACTTACTTTTGGTGCAGTAGTTATACAGTGTTCCAGTTATTTTGTTTTCTTTATTTGCTATGTGCTCACACGGTTTAGTGAAATGTCTAACAGGATGTGGGCCAGAAAATCATGTTTTTCATGCAACAGAGCAAGCGTGAAATATGCATTCTATCTGCTTCTGGTACCATCTCAAATGCATCTCTCCGCCAGCCAGCTACTTCGGGAGGCAACATTACATATGAGGTAATTTTTGTCTTCAGCCTTTCCAAGTTTCAGAAACATCAAGTATCTTGAAATATATTGTATTTGTGCTTTTGGAGTATCATATTCAGTGTTTTGTTCAAGGTATGTGTATATGAGTGGATACCTGTGTCATTTTGATTATAAAATCAAATGGCTACGCTTTGGACTAGTGAACTTCCCAGGTGGTATTAGATTCTCGGTGGACAAAAATAAGGCAACTGTAACCTAGTTGCTCACTATTGGCAACTAACAGGTGTAGTTATCCGTGCGCCTTCAGATGGAGGTTAAATGTAATAGTTCAGCCATTAATTTTTTTGTGTACATGGATTTTTTTTATTGGTCCGTTCATTCGGCTAAACTGAGATACGGCAAAGCTGCGAGCCTGAAAATAACATTTCTCACTTGCTTCTATATTATTTTTAGACGTATCTAAATAAAAAAATCTTTTAAATAAAATATATTTTGACTGTATAGCTCTGAGTTATAGTGCCCTGTATATTCTACACAGGAAGACATCGTATGATTGATGAAAAAGTACCATCCATAGTGATAGGTGGCTGAATTTTGATTTTAGTAGCGTCCAAGTTATTCAGGTGGAGTTCATTGCTACAAATTATAGTTGTGCAATGTGCCATTGCTCTATCTCTGTGTGTGTGTAGTTAGGCAGGAGAAAAAGGAGGAAATGACGACGTCAAGATTCCTTTCTTTTGATTTCTTTTTTTGGTTGGCCTAAAGTGGTTTATGTGGAAATAAAAAATATTAGTTTCAAAATATGCCTATGCTTTTTTTATCTTAGAAATTTTGGACGTCTGAAACAAAAATTTAAATTTCTTAAAGGTTTGCATATTCTTGCAAAAAAAATATTTTGTTAGTTCCTCCGAAGATTAATATATGTCTGGCTAAGTCCTTTATAATACCAGACAACTTGATGGATGGAACTGTGGCTTCTTGATCATCTCCCTCATGTTTAGTTCATCAAAGTGTAATGGTTTCTTTCTGATGTTAGGGTCGCTTTGAGATTATTTCGTTGTCTGGATCTTATGTACGTACTGACCTTGGAGGGAGGGCTGGTGGGCTCAGTGTATGCCTATCTAATACAGATGGGCAAATCATCGGCGGTGGAGTTGGTGGTCCCCTGAAGGCTGCAGGCCCTGTGCAGGTAATGTTTTAGAAAAATTCACATTTTGTTGAATAATGTCTTTAATATTGTTTGAGTGCACAACTGTGGCATAAGATACTAGTGTCTTATGTGTCTCTGCATCGAAGCAGGAGGGGGATTGGATGTCATCTGATGCTCAAATTGATTTTTTTATGTTATTTGGCATTGGGGCATTTTAACCGTTTCTTCTTAACTGAAATCTCTGCTCGTTTCAGTTAGCTTGTTTGAAAATTGGTTCTGCGGTATCTATGTAACACTACTTAGTTGCACCCACAGGTTATTGTCGGAACATTTCAGATTGATGCCAAGAAGGATGCGACTGCTGGTGTAAAAGGTGACGCTTCTGCCGCCAAGTTACCATCGCCAGGGGAAATGATGAGCGGAGGCTTCCGCTCAA